TTCTATAGTATTGCTTTTGTATCATAGACCTTACTTTCATAAGTCATTAATATATAGGGTTCGAACCCACGACCCTACTATTGTAATCCAAATTCATCATGTAGACCTTCTATAGTATTGCTTTTTATTATAGACCTTACTTTCATAAGTCATTCATATATAGGATTCAAACCCACGACCCTATTATTGTAATGCATATTAATCATAGAGACCTTCTATAGTATTGCTTTTGTATCTTAGACCTTACTTTCTTAAGTCATTAATATATAGGGTTCGAACCCACGGTACCCTACTATTGTAATGCATATTAATCATAGAGACTTTCTATAGTATTGCTTTTTTATCATAGACCTTACTTTCATAAGTCATTAATATATAGGATTCGAACCCACGACCCTACTATTGTAATGCATATTAATCATAGAGACCTTCTATAGTATTGCTTTTGTATCATAGACCTTAATTTCGTAAGTCATTAATATATTGGGTTCGAACCCACGACCCTACTATTGTAATGCATATTAATCATAGAGACCTCTATAGTATTGCTTTTGTATCATAGACCTTACTTTCATAAGTCATTAATATATAGGGTTCGAACCCACGACACTACTATTGTGATGCATACTAATCATAGAGACCTTCTATAGTATTGCTTTTGTATCATAGACCTTACTTTCATAAGTCATTAATATATAGGGTTCGAACCCACGACCCTACTATTGTAATTCATATTAATCATAGAGACCTTCTATAGTATTGCTTTTGTATCATAGACCTTACTTTCATAAGTCATTAATATATAGGGTTCGAACCCACGACCCTACTATTGTGATGCTTATTAATCATAGAGACCTTCTATAGTATTGCTTTTGTATCATAGACCTTACTTTCATAAGTCATTAATATATAGGGTTCGAACCCACGACCCTACTATTGTAATGCATATTAATCGTAGAGACCTTCTATAGTATTGCTTTTGTATCATAGACCTTACTTTCATAAGTCATTAATATATAGGGTTCGAACCCACGACCCTACTATTGTAATGCAAATTCATCGTGGAGACCTTCTATAGTATTGCTTTTGTATCATAGACCTTACTATCATAAGTCCCTAATATAGGACTAGTCATTGTGCTACAGTACTTCAGGCAGTCGGGCTCCCGACCACCCCATATATATGTACAACTGTAGGTATGTATCTCCGACATCTCCTCCATACAAGACATCTATACATGAACACCTTCCATAACTTAGGAAAATTTTCTTTTATACGTGAACTCCTTCTACAACTTATTTTCTTTTTTACATGATCTCCTTCCAAGACTTAGACAATTTTTAACAAATTTTCTAATTATTTTATAAATGTTATTTATCTTTATTTTTATAATATTTTCGACTTGTATTTCTTTTATTTATCTTATTTGAAATATTTTTTTAAGTTTTTAATAAATTTATTTGTTATGGAAGACAATAATTTTTAGCCTTTAATTTACTATGTTATTGGTCTAATGTCTGAAATGTATTTATATTAACTTTATGGTTATTAATGTAATTTTATTGTTTAATATATATCTTTTAGGACTATTTTTGACGCCCCTTTATATTGAATTTAAATATTAATAATAATGTTGGGCCGTCACAATATCAATGCTGGAAACTATGCTGACACACTATTAAAAATTGGCGATGGGCGTTTGGAAACGGATGCTGAGGGCTGCGTTATATTGGCGAGAGATTTTTGTTATTTAGTACAGTCATTCCGAATTAATTTCATGAAACGAATGAACAACATGCATGAAAACAAATGGTTATGTGAAAGGGCGATTCTTGCACTAAAAATAGGAGCTTTACCAAAATAAATTCCGATATATTGAGCGAAGTAGTAGGAGAAATAACAGAGTATTTGTCATTAGACACAGTTATGGACACAGAACAGAGCACTTCATATCCCGTAGAGTTTCTAAATTATCTAGAGTTGTCAGGTGTGCCCTCAGATAAGCTTCAATTAAAATTGGGACGCCTAATTTTAATTGAAGCTTATGTTAGGGCACACCTGACAACTCTAGATAATTTAGAAACTCTACGGGATATGAAGTGCTCTGTTCTGTGTCCATAACTGTGTCTACTGACAAATACTCTGTTATTTCTCCTGCTACTTCGCTTAATATAGTCCACGAGAGCGTATTTCTGAGCGAGCTCCTGGTCAAGAATTCTGGCTACTAGGTTGTGCCTGTGCAAGTACTCAGGGTTAGAAAGCGCCGAACAACCGGAGATGAAATGCCTAAATGACTCACCGGGAAGGCGACAGATGTCGACGGTGCCATCCTTGAGGATGTATCTCTAATAGTTGTTGGTCTTAATAACCTGATCCTTTATTGCACAGACTAAACCCTCGTTTTCCCAGAAGAGATCGCCAAAGTGAAGTCGGTGAAGGGAGGCTAGTTTGTCTACGAAAGGCTCACGTAGAGCTTAGTAGAACCTTCCGTGGAACACCTTTTTCTTTCACATGGTCTCCCGGTCGGAAATGCTCTGTAATGCCAGGTCTTGCTATTGCTCGTTGGCCAAGGATAGAGGGGTAGGCCCTTTATCACAAGAAATGTCGTCCATATAGAATGGATCATCCGATCTCGTCAGAAAGTAATTACGGAGGCTGTATACTTCACGATTATGTATGGTAAGCGCGATTAAAAAGCCACGCCCTCCAAATTTCCGCATCAAGTACAGCCTCATAATCGAAGATCTCGGGTGATGCATTCTATGTAACGTCATAGTAGTGCGGACTTTTCTATCTAGGGCGTTAAGTTCAGTCTGAGTCCACCTAAGCATGCCAAAGGTATACATGAGTACAAACATGACCCAACCGTTATATGCTTGTGTCTTATTCATACCGGACAAAAGGCTGTTAAGCACTGTGGTCAAGCGTACATAAAATACGTTGCAAACTGACTGCTTCATACCAACCCCGTCGATACCGATTTTCTGTGACATACCTAGGTATCGGTATGTTTCAGCCTCGGAAAGGGTACTTAAGTTGACGGGCATAGATAAGTCTACGCCCCTGAGGGCATAGTTTAGCGATTAAATCTTGAGCACCTAAAGCTTTGCCCTAGTTCTCCCAGTGTGTAACTAATTTTATGTTAACCCTTTTTTCAATATTCTCCATAGTCTTACCGAAGACTGAATTATTCATTAATTTATAAAAATCTTTTTCGAAATCTGACTTTGCTAACGTTCTTAATTTTGTGTTTAGATCTATGTACATCTTCAACCAGCGAGACTGTTTAAATTTTAAAACTCTATGAATTTTAGTTAATTTAACCCCCATTTCTATGCACTGCTTTAAATTTCTGTAATGAATTACATATTTATCATTCTTCTAGTTAGCAACCCTTTCCCTTTCAACATGGAGAACTGCACACATATCCATTAGGTAGTCCATTCCAATAGAACTGCAAAATTTACAAGTGATATTTAGCAATTTCACAAGATGAGAACGACTGGAGGCGAATAACTTGAGGTCATCCATAGAGAAAAGGTGGGTCACTTTTGTACCTCCTTTCCGAAGCGGAAATCTCCTCCCGGAGCCCTCCAGTAAAGTACTGAGAGGGTTCAAAGAGAGGCAGAACCGGATTTTACTCAGACAATCACCCTGGAAGATACCCCTTTTATCCTTATGCGGCTTTTCGCAGCCGTCATCCACTCACCTAGATGACAAAGGATCGTACTCCACGTATGGGGAACTGAGTCGAATGCCTTTCTGTAGTCTATCCAGACGGCGGAGAAGTACCGACGGTTGCATTTCACCACTTTGCCAATGATCGCGTCAATGAGGAGTAGTTTCTTGGTTCCACGACCACCGCTCCGATATCCATTTTGAGTGCGCGACATCACCTGATTTGAGTTCAGGTGACGAGTGATTCTCGAGTTCAAAATGGATGTTAGTGTCTTGTATATAGTCGCTAGATACGTGATGGGGCGGTATTTACTCGGGTCTGTGGTAACCTGGTCTTTAGGAACCAAATGAGTGATCCCAGTAGTGAAGAGGCTAGGAAGCGACTTCTGGTTGAGGGCCTCTTGAAACTGTCGGGCGAGCACAAAGTGACACACCACGAACCCCTTCAGCTATTAGTGATACAGCTCGTCCAGTCCCGGACATTTCAGATCGGGGCCCTACGGACCGCCTCAGCTATTTAATTCTGCGTTATGATGACGGGGTCCATGGGCGTAATACTCGCACACTGACTCACCACTACTTCTGTCCGAGGGACCTCGCTGTGGTTTATGGGCTCAGACCACAGGCCATGCCAGACTGCGACAGTGTCAGTCTGGTTCGTTGCTGGGCCCTTTCCACTTACCATTGGTCACTCCAATGATTTATAGGGCCTCTTTTGGTCACTCTGGTAGAGACGATTCTGGTTGAACTGTGTCAACCACTCAGTATATCGCCGAATCCGCTTTCCCCAAGCAGCGATTCTCTGCTTCGGGTCGTCAATGCGCTCCGTCAGTTTGTGCATTATATCAGGCTGGGACAAACTAACATTTGTCCCAGCAAATGCCATCCTGATGGTGGGCATAATCCTTGGCCTGTTATTGCCTGACCATATCAGTCTGCCGATGAGGGCTCTAGCCTTTACGATACGTTCTTAAATTCTTTTTCTCTTGGCTGGGATAGCGCTATTTTGTCTAGTAGCTCATCCAGCCGTGGAAAGTTTGGCACCTATAATACGGCATACTGCCGGCATACAGCCAAAAAGATTTGAGTCCGTCTCGCAAAGGTCCCGTCTCGCTTCCAAATAGGTCACCGGCATTGGGTTCAGAACCCTCACGACAGCTTGATTCCGCTTGGTTAGGGATATGCGGGGAAGTCGCGTTTGATTTTTGTAAGGCGCACTGCGCGTTTCCACAATCGCCTCTTCCAATATACTCCTCATTTGATCTATTCCGGTTCCTGGACGACTGTTGCATCATCGTTTGAATAAACCACAACTGGGGTATTCACGGCAGCATCAAAGTTTGCGGGTTGCTCTGTAATTTGTGGCGCCGCATCCTCAGCCGTAGCATTTTCATACGATGAGGGAACAGCCTCAAGTCCTGGCCGTTCGAGTTCGGCGACATCAAATATATTTGAACTTGGTCTGCCAGGTTGTGCTCTGTGTCGGTTATAGATGGCTCCAGCTCAGCAAAAAGACGATGCATCCTAGCCCGATACGAAAAACATCCAACTTCTTTCCTTTCGCCCTAAAATACGCCCGCATTGCGTTGGTATTAATTTTGATTATCCATCACATGTAGCGTACTCCACCAGTGGCGTGTGCCGATTTCTAGGCCTGCGAAGACACTGCCGACACCAAACTAGCTGTTGGGGATGATGAATGCGAGGGGTTGATGGGTGTTCGTGCAGCACCTCGCGCTCGGCTGGCGGTTCGCATGCTGTCACGTCCAGCGCCAACTCCAGACGAGCACTGGCAATTCCCAGGCAGCGGCCCTTTGCGCGTTCTATAAAATTCCATCATCTTTATTATTATTATTATTACTTTACACATAATGCAAAAGGGTTGTTCATAATGTCATGGTATTGGGAGCGATGAGATATTTTTGCCTTGGTGGCAGAAATCAATTCTTACGACACAGATGAGACAAAATACTTTCAATAAGCCTCCACCATACGACCACAAAGTTATAATATGAATTTTAAAATATAACGGAGAAGATGTTATGAAATAACGGTTATTTCTTTTAGCGTGAACGTAGAGCGATGCCCAGCGCACTGGCAGCACTGATAGAGACAGTAACAAAACTTTTGCGCGCCTAAATTGACGTCAGGTACCTGGCACTAGCGCGATCTAGTCTCGGGGACCAGAGTGAAGAGGGCTTCCTAGAAAATGTCAATCTTGACTTACGACCAGCAGCGCTATCTAGCATCGAACAGATGAATTAAGCTTTCTAGAAGCCCCACACTCGAATTTTCTGCGCCTGGTCAGTTGGCGTCCGTATTAACTTAAATATGCTGGATGTTTCGGTGCAAAAAGGTGTATTTAAAGGCACTGCAAGACGCAATCGAGACAGTATTGAATTTGGCGAGACAAGCGAAGCTTTGGAGCGAAATAAAGTGAATCAGTGTGATTAATTATTAGTGTTTTAAATTTTAATTGATGTTCGGTAATAAAAGTGTAAATTTTGGTAAAATTGGTGTCAGAAGTGGGATCAAATCATGCCGATTTTACCTAAGGAGGAAATGGAGGGTGTCCGTACCCGAAGTCCACGCCAGCAGGAGACGGACTAGAGAAGGTTTGGCTGGCTCCTGGCTGACAGGAGGAACAGGCCCGTCGGTTGGAAGAGAAGCTCAAACGCGATAAGGAAGAGCAGGTGCTCCTCATGAAGGATATTCACGCTACCTTCGGGAAAGAGATGAAGAGGTGAAGGATAAGGTTGCTCAACATGACAACCGCCTGTCGGAAGCTAAAATCCGAATCGACCAAGTGAACAATCGGGTTAACAACTTAATGGCTGACGTGAAGAAATCACTGGACGAACTCAAACTTGGGGATGGAACTACAGCTCCCCTACTACACCTTCGCTACGTGGGTTCAAGGTGCCATCGTTCCACGGGACTTCTTCCTGGTCAGCCTACAAAATCCAGTTCGAGACTGTTATGAACGCGAACGGCTGGAATAAAAGTCAGGCCATGAATGCTCTCACACTAGGCCTACGCGACCAGGCCTTAACAGTTCTGGAAGCTCTCAGTGAGGAAGTGACTTATGAGCAGCTTCTTGAGACATTGGAGGCGAGATATAGCGACGCTCACCTGGAACAGGTCTTTCGTGCGCAGCTTAAAGATCACGTGCAGCGCATCAACGAAAATCTGTAGCAGTGGGCTCTAGAGGTGAAGAAGCTGGTGCGAAAAGCATACCGGTCTGTATTTGCGCTCATTGAAAGGAACCTGGTGCAGACATTCATCGACGGCATCAGCGACCTTGAAGTCAGAGCTGCTGTGAGGCTCGGGCACCACGAGATGCTTAAAGACGCCTTGGCCCATGCACTGGAGATGGAAGCCGTGCGGCAGGATCATCGTTCCCGCCGCGTCAGGGAGTTTGCAGCAGCTACAGTTCGCGACCGCAATAAAGGATACAGCCTTAGGTGCTATGGCTGAGGGGAAAGCGGACATCTTCGATCCAGCTGCCCTAAGCGAACCTTAGAAATGGATGGTGAACGATCTCAATTAGGATGGTGCGGCCAACAGCACCACCCAGCAGCAGCAGGGAAACGAGTAAAAGCCAGAATTGCGGGACGGGTGCTGGCTGATGTTAAAAGAGCCCCAAGGATCTCAATCTCACAAACCCATGATGGGAACAGTCTAATCATCAAGGGCGTGGTCAACGGAATGCCGTGTAAACTGACCATAGACACTGGAACCTCTCGTACGGTTGTTAGTTCCCAACATATAAGTCAGTTCCTTGGGGACTCCGCATACAACCGAGAACGCATTAATTTGGTAACAGCCACCGGTCAGCGTATACCCGTCCGTGGAGAGAAGGAGATGGAGTTGAAGCTAGACAATATGATCTACCTGCATAATGTCATCGTGGCTGATATAATGGACGACTGCATCCTGGGCCTAGACTTTATGAGGAATAATTGTTGTGAGATCGACGTTAAGCAAGGTGTTTTGAAATGTGGACAAGAGGAACTTTTCATGGAAGGGGCGTTACCAGGGAACGTGTACAGCCTTAAAAAGATTGTTTTTCCGCCAAGATCGGAAACGATTGTGCCGGTTAGTCTTCCTCAGAATCTTGGGCAACCTCATCGTTGTGTACTTGTGGAAAGGGTAAACAATGACCTTCCATGGAAAGTAGCTCGAACCTTGGTCAGAACCACTGACATCTCAGGAGTATGTGTGCTGAACCTCTGTGATCAGGAACAGATTATAGAAAAAAGCACACTGGTTGGTACTTGTGAGGAAGTGAATTGGTACGTGGGTGCCAATATCTATCGAGTGACCACACTTTTGTAAGGCTGTCGCAGCGTTCTCTCCGCGAACGAATTGGTCAAGGCGAAGAAGTTGTTACTCAAGTACGCCGATGTATTCTCGTCAAACGATGCTGACATAGGAAAGACTGGCTTAGTTCAACACAAAATAAACACAGGAGAAGAATTTCCTATCTGTTAGCGGCCAAGAAGATTTCCGGTAGCACGTGAAAAGGAAGTGGAAACCTTGATTGAGGGAATGGTGAAGGATGGTGTTATTGAACCTTCATCTAGTCTATGGTACTCAGTCGTGATGCTGGTAAAGAAGAACGATGGCAGCATGCGGTTTTGTGTTGACTACCGCCGTCTGAACGACTTTACAAAGAAGGACAGCTATCCCATGCCAAGAATTGATGACACGCTGGACATGCTTACAGGAGTAAAGCGGTTTAGCACGCTGGATCTAAAAAGTGGCTAATGGCAAGTTGAAATTGACCCTAATGACAAGGAGAAAACTGCGTTCTCGACGGGAAAGGGTCTGTGGCAATTTAAAGTAATGCCGTTGGATTGTGCAACGCTCCAGCAACGTTTGAAAGGCTGATGGGGCTTGTACTTACCGGACTAATTGGCGATGCCTGTCTGGTCTACTTTGATGACGTCATCATCGTGGGCCGTACGTTTGAGGAACACCTTTAAAACCTGGAACACGTGCTCATGAAGATTCAGAGTGCCCGCCTCAATTTGAGTCCGAAGAAATGTTCACTATTCAAACAACAAGTCAACTTTTTGGGGTATGTAGTGTCGGAAGAAGGTATCCGCACGGATCCGAAGAAAATCGTCGCTGTCAAGCATTGGCCAGTTCCAAAAGACAAGACGCAGGTTAGAGCGTTTTTGGGTTCGAGCTCCTATTACCGGCGATTTGTGAAGAACTTTGCAGATATAGCCAGGTTTGCACAAGCTAATTGAGGAGAAGCGACATTTCTGCTGGGATGAAAGTAGCAATATCGCATTCCAGGAGCTCAAGAACCGTCTGTGCAAAACACCTATTTTGGCGTACCCTGATGCAAGCAACGAATTTATAGTTGACACATACGCAAGTGCTATAGGACTTGGCGGTGTGTTGTCTCAACGGAATGGTGACCAAGAGGTCGTAATAGCGTACTTCATCAAGTCGTTGTCAAAACCGGAAAGGAACTATTGTGTCACAAGACGCGAATTGCTAGCTGTGGTAAAGTGGTTGCAGCATTTTAGCAAATATCTTCTGTGGCAGAAATTTCACTTAAGAACTAACCACACTAAAACCCGGAAGGCAAAGTTGCGAAGTGGATTGAACTACTGCAGGAATATGACTTTGAGATCTAACATCGCAGCGGGAAATCTCATGGCAGTGCTGACGATTGCAAACTTTGTACCCGGCAAGAGAGAAAGGAAGTAATATCCGTGAGGATGCTCAGGATAGACCACCTCATCAACGAGTGGAAGTTCAGCTTACAACATGCACCTAAACATTTTATAATAACAACACGTTATATATTACTACTAAATTTTAAATCTACTTCCGTCCTTTTTTATTTTTTAGAATATTATTCATACGTATGAAAAAATGTAGGTACATCTTTACACAAAAGCACCAGATTCAATAAAACTCATTACAGTAATATGCTATTACTCACTACCGGCTTTACTCACTGGCTTTGGCGAAAAACTTTTCGTCTCTATCGCATACACCACGAGGAGTGTTGTGAGAATTTGTTGTAATTACTTTCAGCTTCTACATTCCGCTATAATCCCCCTAAATCAAGTAATTACTATCTAGTAATTACTAGATATCACATGAGGGTAGCCGAAAAGCTTGACACCATCGATGGCAGGAAAGAATGTGTGGAGAGAATAAGGCAGAACTTTAGGGATGGAATGGTAAGTGCAGCGGAAGAAGTATGTGGAACGACAAAAAGAGGTAGTAGTACAAGAAGAGATGCATGTTGGAATGATGAAGTGAGAGAAGCTGTAAAAAAGAAGAAAAAAGCATGGTTAGACTACTTGGCCTCTAGTAACGATAAGCATATGAGAGCGAAGATGAAAGAAAGATATAAGCTCCAGAAAGTTCATGCAAAAACATTGATTGAGGAAGTACGTGAAAGGTGTAGAATAGAAGCGGACGAGAGGTTGTCGCACAACTTTAAGGAAAACTGCAAACTCTTCTGGAAGGAGGTTGGAAGGTCCCGGAGTGG